CTGCTCAAGTCACCATTTTCAAGGACCTAGTAATATGTACTTGTTTTCTTTAAAAAATACATAAAAAATACCCATCCCCCCAAGCACAAAGTTAAACTCTGAAAAGCAGATGAGCACCAAAATTAAATGCTTATTAATATTATTCTTTCAAATATACTTCCTGATGGCTACTTATGGGTAGCCTACTGGATAAAAATCTTTCATAGCACTATTTTGATGTCACAGGAACCCTGGGATGAATTATGGGTTTGTTCCACTGATTTCACAGACAGGATTTTTCTGGAATAAGGAACACTGTGGCACCAAGAAAATCACAGTCCAGGCACTTGAACATCCAAAAAGATTGAAACTCAGTCACAAAAGAATGGCTTAAAGTTAGATAAGCACCAGCTTCTGGGAAAGCGTGTGGCTGAGTAAGTAAACGATACATTCTCCATGTCAGCTTTCAGCTATCTTAACCTTAGATCCATTGCTCTCAAGGATTTTAAGGCCTGCTTGGACACAGCCCTGTGCTTTAGGAGACCCTGCGTGTGCAGGGAGGTTAGACTAGATGATCTCTAAAGGCCCCTTCCAACCTTAAGGATTCTGTGATTCTATGATTCTTCCTGAGAGCCCTTTCTCATTTGCTTGCCTAACTCCCTCCATTCCTTCCACAGATAGAGAGGATTTCTAAAAAGCTGTCATTCATCGCACTCCCAACTCTTTCCAAACTACTCAGCTTGTCTTTAGTGTGTCATGCCATCACAAGGAGCAAAAAATAATTAAAAAAAGGGCACATGATCCTGAATCTAAAGATAAGATACCTCAATTTGGAATGCTTGACTAAAATTAATACACTTTCATTTTTTTTAATATTATAAAAACTAAGAACACAGTTGCATAACATACCATATTTTATCACATCTGTCATCTCCATGTACAATTAACAACTAATCAAGTGCTTTTGAACAAGTATATTCTGTGTCATTACTGATAGCCTATTATTCAAATTAATACTTTTAACCTAAAACATGCTCTTAAAGGATTAACACTTAACAAGCAGATTTTCAGCTTTAGAAGTAATACTTCATGCTTAGAGCACTTCGGTGACTATATAATGCATACTTACAGCATGTCAATTACTATAAAAATAATTAGTTAAATCACGCAGTAGGGGTGAGATTGCAAAAATGCCACTAAAGCAGAAGAGTCTCCATTTTATTCATTAATGTTCAAGTGCTCTTGAGAAAGCACTGCTGTCAAAAATCATCCACAAGCCCAGCACTCCATTACTTTGGTTGCTACTAATATGACTGTGTTCTGAGGCTCTTCCCGCCACCAATCAGGCTAATTTGATCTCTGTGGCCAAGCATTAGTTTTCAACTACCTCCTTCCACTAAGCCCTTCCTCAAGGGCAAGACTCTGAAGGAGCTCCAAGATGGGCAGGTGGCTAATAGAAGGCCGGGCGGGCATGCTTGTCCAAACGCAGTCAAGGTCCAACATTTTCCTTTAAATAGCAGCAGGAGACTCCATGACACCTGAATATGGTTTCAGCTACCACAACTCTCCTTTTCCCTTTCTATAAGCAGTCTAGCCCACTTCTTTCTTTCCTCGTAAGCAGGCTTCAATCTCGGATCCATTTTAGCTATTTGGATCACACCAGGAGGGCTAGCCAGGGGAAGGCTTCTGGATGTGCTCCTCTGGAGAGCTGAGGCTCCAGCAGCCACCCCTCACACTCCCATTGCCACCAAGGAACAGGAGACAGATCCCATTCAGCCTGTCCTTCCTTCAGCTAGAGGATGCTGAAGCTGCTCTGCGCAAGATCTATGCATGGTGTTTGCTTGGAAGGCAGGTCTGGAGGCATTGTCCTCTCCCTTTCACCTGGCAATGATGATCTCCACACAGGCCACCACCTGCCCTTCTACAAAGTTAATAATCTTTCTCCATCCTTAGCATTTTCAGCACTTATATCCTACATACTCTAAATGGCCTTCAGACTGCTTTTCTGTTGTCTCGGGTGAAATGATAGCTGTTGATTATACTTCTAGAGGAACACTTCAGGGAAGGGCTGGGTTTTCCAACCTTGCAAAAGTGAGTAGGAACATGAAACTCGCCCTCCACACACCCCCCCCAAAAAAAAAAAAAAAAAAAAAAGCCTCAGGCTGGTCATTTCAGAATATACAGCACTTCACGTGCCTTCAACATTCCACTCTTAAACCTAAGCTAAAATTCAGACGGATAATTCTGGAGTTTTCTGGACAGCATGGTCAGACCCTTCATATAGCTATGCAACCAACACAGGAGCAGAGACTACTAGAAAATCTAGCACAGCAAAGCAACAACAAACCAAATCACCAAAAACACAGCAGGACACAAAACAACTGACAGAAATAAAAAGTTTTTTTGGAAGATAATTTGATTTCAGTAGCTGATATAAAGAAAACAGAAGTGAGAGGAATGATAAAACTTGGCATTACAGAAATTTTGATTACAGGCAGTAAAAGCAAAATATCCCCCACCCCCCCAAACCCACACTCTTTGCTCTTTAAAAGTTAATTTAAATCATGTAAGATTCATCAAAAAACATTGAGCTCTTTGAAAACCCAGCTCATTATTCTTCACGCATAATGAACAAGCTCTGTTTTAAAATTCCAGCTCCATATTAGTTCTCACAAATTTCAAGGAGTCTCTTTCTTGGACTTCAATAATTTTATAATACCCATTAAGTAAAACGTCAGCTATCATCTGCAAAGGATGTTATCACAATTCTTTCCTCTCCTTGCATCTTGATCTACATCTGTAATAGGATTCATTTATTACTTACCGAGTCTTTATATTGACAGTATCTGCCTCATACCCTAGGAATAGGTTTCTCGTTGCCTGTAAGCTCCTTCTGCACCTGAGCACACACGTGCTGTAGTCACTGCTGGCATCAGTAACAAAGTTAATGCCCAAACACAGGTACCTCAGGGGCAGCTGGATTTGCATTTAGTCCATCCATAAGAACGTCACTGATGCTTTATGCCCTATCAGGAGTTTAATGCCTAGTTAGCAATAAACTAACAGAAATTAAAAATTTCTTTCAGGCTTTATAGCTGAAACTCATTCCAGATTGATTGAAAGTGTCCTGAAATAACTACATACCTGCAGTTGATCTCCCAGTTTATTCCCCTTCAGATCTTCTCCAAAATACTTCTCCCTATGTTATTACTTCAAAAAAGTAGGAATACTCATCTCTTCATTTCCCATTGAACAATGGATTTTCGTTTAATGCAAAACTACAGTATCTAAAAATAAAAATGTGCCATGCATGTATACACTCAAGCTGATGTATAGTATGCCTTAATTCCTAGGAGATGATCATAGAATAGAATCATAGAATG